CGACAAAATAGCATATGAATACCCTGGGATAAAAATAAAAACCAGGATAAATCTCCTTTTTTCAATTTTTATTAATAAATGTTTGCATTACATAGTGATCACATTCCTCATGTGTAGTTGGAACTCGTACCCAATAAATTTTAATTATTTCCCCATCCCCTTCTTCTCCCATCGCACCCCAATTCCTCTTTGTCCCCTGTACTTTTGCAAAAGATTTTTCTTTTTCCTGTTAACCATCTTTTATTGCCAAGTGTGTTGGTGCATGCCTGTAATGTTAGCAGTCAGGAGGCTGAGGCAGGAGGGTCATTGCAAGTTTGAGACCATCCTGGGCTACAAAGTGAGTTCAAGCCAGCCTGAACTGCATAGTGAGACCCTGTCTCAAATAAACACAACAAACATCTTTTATTTTACTTTTTATGTACATTTAGGTTTCTCACATAAAAGACACCTTGTAATATTTAAACTGTGTAACTGATTTCTTTCACTTAACATTATAGTCTCAAGATGCATCTATTTTTCTACAAATTATGCAAGTTGCCTTTTTATGGCAGAATAGCACTCCATTGTACACAAATACCACACTTCCTTATCAATAAATCTGTTGATGGGCATGGAGGGTGCTTTCATGTTTCAGTTATTATAGATTGTGATGATATTAACATGTGTATAGATGTATCTTTTGGTAAGGTATCTGGAAAAAGAATACCTTAATCCAATAGAATTTCTATATTTAGTTTTTGAATGAATCTGCATACTGATTCTCACAATGGTTGTGTCAGCTTACATATCCACTAGCAATGTACGTGATTTTTTTGTACCCACAGCTTCATCATCATTTGTTATCATTTGATTTCTTGATGAAAGCCATTCTTTCTAGAGTAAGGTGGAACCTCAGTGTTGTTTTAATTTGCAGTGATGTTTTAATTCTCTATGGGTCAGAAGGCTGAAACTTTTTTCAAGCGTTTCTTAGTTTTTTTTTTTTTTTTTCTTCTGAGAAGTATCTATTCAATTCAGCTGCCATTATTTGATTTGGTCTTTTATTTAAGGGGTTTAACTTTGTGAGTTCTTTATGTAGTATAGATATTAGTCCCCTCTCTGAAGACTAGCTGGCAAAAGATTATTTTCCATTCTTTATGTTGTCTCTCCACTAATTGATTGTTTCCTTTGCTGTGCAGATGCTTTTCACTTAACATGATCCCATTTGTTGATTCCTGATGTTACTTCTTGTGCAGTTGGGGCTCTGTTCATAAAGTCCTTGGCTCTGCCCATGTTTTCTAGTGTTACCTATTTTGTCTTCCACCACAATGAGTGCTTTTGCTTTGATATTTAGAAACTTCGTCCTTTTTTCTTAGCTTAGTGTCTAGTGAGAAATATGGGTCTAAATTCAACCTTCTCCATGTGGACAGCCAGTTTTTCCAGCACCATTTGTGAAAGAGGGTACCTTTCCTACACTTTATATTTTGGCCCGTTTGTCAAGATCAGACTGCTGAATGTGCCTGGGTTTGTCTCTATATTTTCTGTTCTCATCCATCCATGAGGCTTTGTTTGTCCCAAGCCATACTGTTTTCATCCCTGTAGCATTGTAATATAATTTAAAATCCAGGATTGTGATGCCTCTTTATTTTGCTCTTGTTCCCAGGATTACTTTTGCTATTTTGGGTCTCTTCTGATTCCATAAATTTTACACTCACTTTCTCTAGTTCTGTGAAAAGTACTTTCAGTATTTTAATGGGTATTTTGCTAAACCTATATATCAGTTTTGAAAGCAGGGCCATTTTAACAATATTGCCCACCCTAGAAGGAACAGGGGACATCCTCCATTCCGGCTGCTCTCTGAAGTCTCTTTTTTCAAAGTATTGCTATTTTCATTGTAAAAGTAATTAACTTTCTTAGTTTATTTATAAGTATTTAATTTTTCCTGATGCTATTTTTGATGATTTTTTTCCCCAGTTTCTTCCTCAATGAGTTCATTTTTGGTGTACGGGAACACTGTGGACTTTATGTGTTGGTTTTGAATACTGCTACACTACTGAATTTTCTCAGTGACTTTTGGTGGCAGTTTTGTCGTCTATATAGAGGGTCATTTTGCCTGCAAATAATAACTTGACCTCTTACTTTCCTATATATGTCCTTTTTATTTCTTCTCTCGGTGATTGCTCTGTCTAATGCTTTAAGAACTATACTAATCAGGAACGGTGATAGTGGACATCCTTCTTTTGTTCCTGACTTTAGGGAAAGCTGACACATTTTACCCACTTAATATTATGTCTGGAGAAGGTTCATCGACAACCTAATAAGATTGAAATAAGTTCTATCTAAACCTATTTTCTTCAGGATTTTTTAAAATTGTGAGTGGTTTTTGGGTTTTGTCAAAGGCTTTTTCCATGTCCCTTGAGATGATGGTGTGATTTTTTTTCCTTGCTTGTGATTATGTGATACATTCATTGATTTGCGTATTTTGAACCATCCTTGCATACCTGTGATGAAATTTATATGGTCATCTTATATGAAGTTTTTGATGATTTATTTCATTCTGTTTGTCAATATCTTGTTGTAGATTTTTTGCATCTATATTGTTTAAAGGGATTGGATAATAGTTCTCACTTTGGTTTGGGTCCTTGCCTGGTTTTTAGAATCCTAATTCTAGCTTTCAGGAATGAATTTGGGGATACACTGTCCCTTGAAATTTCATGGAAGTTTGAGGAGTGTCAGCATTACATCTTCCTGAAGTATTTTAGAATCCAGCATTGAATCCATTAGGACCTGGGCTTTTCTCAGTTGGCAGGTTTTTCATTACTGTTTCAATTTCCTTGTCTATTAGTGTATTACTGAAGGTTTTTGTATATTCTTGGTTCAGTTCTGGTAATTCATATATATCTAAGAAACTCAACTTCTGAATTCTCCAATTTATTGGCCATTCAGGTTTTTAAAGGACAGTAGTTACTAATAATCTTCTGGATGTTAGTTCTGCCTGATGTGACTTTGTGGTTTGCATTTCTAATTGCTCTGATTTGTGTCTTCCCTTTTATTTTTTTTCTTTTCTGGTAGGATTAACTAAGAGTTGCAAATTTTTTTCTTCAAAAGACCACTCTTCGATTTTTTGATTCCTTGTATTGTGATTTTAGTCTCAATCTCATTAACTTCTAGTCCAATCTTAATAATTTTCTTCCTACTACTAGTTTTGGAACTGGATTGCTCTCATTTTCCAGGTTTTTGGGAGCCATAATTAGGTCATTAGTTTGAACGTGCCATCTGTTCCTGATGTAGGGTCTCAGAGCTGTACATTTCCCTAAAGATTCTGATGTATTGCTCTGTTCTTATGCTTTAATTCTAGGATCTGTCTAATTACTTTCTTGACTTTTTCTGTGACTTGATTATTCAAGAGTATGTCATTTAAATTCCATATATTTGAATGATTTGTTTTTTTATTTTGCCAATGATTTGTAGTTTTATTATGACATGATCTGATAATATGCATGGGATAATTTTATTTCTTTTCCATATATTAAAGAATGATTTCTAGGCTAACATATGTTGTATTTTGGAGAAAGTTCCATGTTTGCTGAGAGGAAAATGTATGATTGGAACATTCCGTGGGTATCTATTTAATTAATTTGTTTGAGTGTGTTTTAAACCCTGGTATTTCTTTGTTGATTTTTTTTTAGTTGATCTATTTACAATAGTTGTGTATGAGATCTTCCAACATAATTGCAATGTTTATCTGATCATTTATATCTAGTGCTATATTTTTAACTAAAATCATTCAAAGGTGAGTAATAACTTATGATATAAATTAAAATATTTAGAAACTATCAAATAAATTAAGTGTACACACATAAATGGAAATATATGCATGTATATTTATAAAATATCAACATTTACTTGTAATTGTGTCAGAAATGTTCTTTGTCATTGTAGAATTAGCAGTATATAATTATCTGAGTCACCCACACACTATTATGGGATAAACATTACTCAGAAATATTTATTTCTTTCAGAAATAACATTTATATCTGAAAATAATATTTGTGTTTCACTGTTTGACAGGTACAAAATATAGAATCCTGAATTTCTAATTTTTATTCAATATGTAAAAAATCCAAGTAATTTTAATGCATCTAAACAGAAAATATTTTTAAACTATTTAAATGTCCCTGTTATCATGCCTAACATTGCCTCTCTAGCAGATAGTATGAAGCAGTGCTCTGTGATGCCTCATCAGTGCTCTCACCTGAGAGCAGGTGAATATTATGTTATCACAATGTTCAGGAAACCTGTGCATTCAGTTTGCGCAGTTTGTGATGGATTCTGTAATGGTTGATAAACTGTGAGAACTTGAGAAGTTTAGAAATTTAATGAAGTGACTCAGCAGAGGGCCAGGGTCCTCCTTTTGTAAATATCCTCATCCTGCGCAAAAGCAGGGCATGGAGACGGTGTGAGTGCTGCCCCCGCCCCAGGTGTTGGGAGCCTGCTTATAATTAAGAGAAAAGGAGACTTGCTTTTCTCCCCTTTTTGCTCTTATTGTTTTTGCTGCTGTCTCCCTCCTTTCACTGTTGCCCTGTGCCATGTGTCACCAGGTCTTGGAGCCAGCTGATTATGGACTGAAACACCACAAACGGTGAGCCAGGTACACCTTTCCTCCCTTAATTTTGGCTGTTGGATATTTTGTCTCAGCAACCAGATAAAAGTCACCAAGACAGATACACATTTGAAGAAGGGCAGCTTGGAGTGAACAGTCCTCCCATTTCAGCCCTACAGACGCAACCAGAAATCCAGGAGAACTCTCTTCAGGTTCTGTCACCCTCATGCACTGGGAATCGTGCTTTTCCAGGGATGGGAGATGTGAATCCCACCGCAGCAGTTTATCATTAATCGCTCTAAAATTGTTAAGGTTGCTTGAGATAAAAGGAATCCGATTAATAATACTGTAATTGTCTTACTTTCCTTGAGAGGGATGTTGTCATTCACAAACTTTGCCTACTTTTTCTTTTACGTCCTAGAGTGTATTTATCAAGTTGCTGTATTCTCCAGCCAATGCCAATGAAGAAAAGTGATTGCGTCTCTCTCTTCACAAACTGTGGGTGGAGAGACACTTCAAAATGAACTAAGCACGCATCAGTGAGCTTCAAATGAATGACTCATCCTGAAGGTGGAAGTGTTACCTTTTATTCCAAGGCTTATAATTGACAGAGTTTTTCAGAGTAATTCATAAAGCACAGACTATATAATATTGGAATGTTTTATGGTAATGAAGGATCTTTTTTCAGTAAAAGAATTGCAAAAATGATCATTAAGCAGCATTTTATATACGATTTTGTTACATAAGATTTTATGATGAGGATACATTTTAATAAGTTTTGATAGATTGGTGTTTTCTGTTTTCAAAACTCTGCGACTGAAAAGCTCTCAGTAATAAATTTTATATTACTTTTCTTCTTATTAGTATTGTTAGCACTAAATAAATCTTAACTTTTGGGGAAAAGTACAAAATGTTAGAAATTTTAAGAATATTAAAATAATCTAGATCAAAACAAAACTTCAAGGCTGGAGACTTAGTTCAGTGGTACAGTGCCTGCCTGGCAAGTGTGAAGCCCTAAATTTGATTCCCAGTACAAAAAATAAAAAAAAGAAACAAAGAAAACCTTAAATGATAGTAGTAATAATAATAACAATAATAATAATAATACATATATGCATTATTTTAACTTAATCACAGCTATAATGACCCGATTTTGAAGTATAGTCACAATCTCAGATATGGGAGTCAAAGGTAAAACAGATTAATTTTGATGGGAACAGAATTCTGTTCGCATAGATCCTTAACAAACAAAATGTAATCTTCACACTTAAATTCAAATTGTCACTTCTAATATTTTAAATCAATTTAGGTTCAAAACCTACAAATGATTTTTTGAGGTAAACATGAGGTAAACATGTAGATGTAGACGAGCCATTCTGGAGGCTTGGGGGAAGGCATGGTAAGGTAAGGATATTCAAAATTTAAGGTCAGCCTCGGCAATTTGTGAGATGTCTTGAAATAAAAAAATAAATGAGTCCTAGAAATAGGCTTTGGATTCAATCCACATAACAAAACAAATCCCATAATTTTGTGTTTCCCTTGCACAAATTTGTAACCTTGAGAAGAAATAAGATATTACAAGTTTTTTAAAAGAATAACCAATCCTTAACACAAAGATAATAGTAAGTAAATAGAAGCAATCAAAGCTCAAAATATCATTCATTTTAATTTGAAAATGAATGTGTACTCTCGACAGCAGTAGTACCATACTTTTGTCAGAAAAGAAGTGCCTCCTTTTCCTTAACAAACAGATGCATATTTATTTTTGATATATAATGAAGACAATAACACAAGTTTATTAAGTTTTTGTCAATTTAATACTCTTGTGATGGTTCCTGGCAAAGTCCCTGCACATGTTACCTCATGGTCCCTTAACTCACTTTCCCTCACCTCCTTCCCTTCTGTCCTTAACAAAAGCATGTTCTGGTCTTTGCTTTCTTCACCACAGTTCCTTATGAATACTGTTTTTAATTCTGATTGTAAGTCATTTAAGATATCACTCACTACGGTATTTTAAAATAAATTACCATAGAAAATTGAAAATAAATATTTAATAACAAGGGAATAAAGGAAAACAAGGAAGGATGAATAAAAAATGAAACAAGGAGAAAAAAGAAAAGATGAAGAGTAGATAAGAGGGATCAGCAAAAGAAATACAGAAGACAGAGAAGAGAGACAAAGAAGTACTACAGTTCTTACAGGGCAACTTCTTTACTGTGTCCACACTTTATAGATTAACCATCAACAAAATTGTCACAGTGGGAAGAGATTTTCTAAGTTTCACATGGCCTGATCAATAACGCATCCTGGAAAGGACTCCAAAGGGTACACTTTTCATAAAATAAGCACACCTATGCTTTCTAATTTTATGATCAATGTATTATTACCAGTAAGGCAACTACCTGAAGTAAACCATTTAAATGGATTAGTGTTAAAGAATTGTTCATTATTTTTCTATTAGAAAAATAATTCCATATTGCAATGGGTATAAAATACCAATGGGAGCAATCAAATGTGAAACAAATATTAATTAAATGACATTTCTTTAGGGTTGGAGAAGCTATTCTATATGTAAGGTAATCACACTGGGTGTATCTATCCATTCATTTTATATAATTTTAGTAATTCAGGTTCATGGGAGCAGAAAAAGTTCAACTGACAAAAACAGCAGCCAAAACTAGTTATTTATGTTTCCACTTTCAGACTTAATCTGATAAATATAATCAATTATAATGAAAGTGTGACAATCTCACATGGGACTAATGAAGTAGTGTTTCAATCTACCACATAAAATGTTCCAAAAATGATTCAAAATTTAAAGTATGATGAGCATTTTTGTATTAACAATTTTTTATTGGTTTACTATTTCTTATATTAAATATATTTCTATATTCTGTAATGTTTTTATAATTTTCACTGTGGATTAGGAAAAATTGAGAAGTAAACTGCATTATATTAATTTATCTTGACTTTCAGTATCATAATACTTTATAATAACACACACATTTTTAAGAAAGTATGTTTACTCCTTATTTCAAAAGAACTTCACAATTACAAATTAAAATACCAGATATATTTCAATGTAATTTTCAGTAGAAAATTTTGGGTATTATGACAGACATTACAATTATGCAAAATAAATGATATGAAGAAATAATATTAGAAACATTATGAAATAGAATAGTAACTTTGTGTGTATATAAGTGTGTGTGTGTACATGTTAGTTTAAGGAAATACTCTATTGTTTATATACACACCTAAACTGTGTGATCTAGTCATTAATAGTATATGGTCTATTATTGATCAAAATATCACTAGGCAGCATATGACTATATTTCAAAATTAGGTATGAGAGAATCAAATTGAATGAACTATCTCACTGACCCTAATGCTAGTCATTCATGCAGAAGAATCGGGTGCTAAGGTTTAGCAAAAAAAGTAGAGTAGTTAAGAGATGAAAGGAGGTTGTAGCCAAGCTCTTTCTTCAGCTAGTTTACATAATGTACAATCACTGAAATTTACATACCCACTTAGATTGGGGAGAAAAGAGACTGGCAGTAGTTAGGGGTCAAATTTTCCCAAATAAGTATTAAACATGAATTGTTCAAGTAATGGTGTCCTAGTTATAAAATAACAGTCATTTCAGGTCCCTCTAAAGGATGTCTTTTTAATTCTTTTCTTAACATAGTCTTGGTTTGGAAGTAGCAGTCTATTTAGATATCTGCAAAAATTTTGAAATGGAATAGACAAAATGATTTCTGTTGACATATTATTATGGTTCCTATCTAGAATATTTCCCTAAAATATCAAGTGTTCATATGGTTTCTGAAAGACAATGGACTGGGGTGACACTATATTATCCAATGGATTTATCCATTGAGTTCATGGGAGCTGGTGGGAGGAGACGTGTCTCTGGGAGTATGCTTTGTAAGGTGCATATCTTCATGGCTTTTCTACTCACTCTCTTTCTGGATGATGTGAAGTGAGCAACTTCCCTCTGTTGTATGCTTCTCCCACACTATTTCTGCTTTGAAGGAAATTTGCCATCGACTGAATCATCTGAAAATTATGTGGCAAAAAATTCCTCTCCTTCTTCAAGTTCTGGATGTTGGGCAGTTTGTCCCCACAACAGGAAAATTTGTACATAAAATTGGTTCCAGAAGTGAGATTGTTGCCTTGTCCTTCAAATGCCTTTGGCACTGGATGGCAGAGGAACTGGACTGGAAAGTGTGGACACCCACTAGAGAAGACTAGTAGAGGACTACGAAGACTACACAAAGACCATGAACAGTGCTGTCAGCAGAGCAGGCAGAGACTGATGAGAGATTCTGGCCAGAGTTAAGAGTATTGAAATGGCGATAAAACAGTGGATAGCAAACTAGTGAGATTTCAGGTGGGAAAGATGACTCTTCTAGCCATTGGACTAAAGACCATGTTTATTACTTTCTGATTAAAAAAAAAAAGATGTCTGAATTGTGCCTGATTTTGTGTGAGAATAACTTTAAAATGGGCAAAATTAATTTATCTAGGTGTGGGTAATTTCAACATGACTAGTGTTCAGGCTGTTATCATGTGACCTGCTGCCTACTTTTAATCAGATCTACAATAAGAACTGGGAGCATATTTTCCAGGTTAAATAAAAAAAGAAGCTCATGTAAAGTTAGACTCCAGAAAAGCATGGCTGTTGAAAATACTGGCATTGTAAAAAGTCAAGTGTCTTGCTTAGAAGTAATAGGGACAATGCCTTAAGTCAGTTCAGGAAAGAGCCACATCCTGCCCATCCAAGGCTCAAAGAGATAAAATGGTATATTCCTTTAGAAGAGTTTGCTTTGAAGAGAGAGACCCATGACACCAATCTCAGTCAGGACTGTAAAGGGAATTTTTCCATCATTTCGACTAGCCAGACACTCAGAGAATGATGCATCCAAGGTCCGTGTGGGCGTCACTGCTGCTTGAGCTGTTATCAGCACACCCTGGTGCCACCTTTGGTACTATCTTAACAGACACACAAAACACAGCAGTTGTGAGGTTATGTTGGCTTCCACTTAGAGTTCATAAGAAGATCTGGGAGGCCAGGCAGTGTACCTGTGAAAGAGCCGTGTGGAAAGCTTTGAGAATGAAGCTGAAAGTGTCATGGAGAACCCAGTACATTGGAGTTGTAAGGAATGTGAGATAGTGCTGATGAAAACTAGCAATGCTTGGACCCTGACCTAAACAAAGGTACTGAGAGTTTCACCTTGCAAGGCCAGAGGCGGGGCTGAGAGGCCCTTTGGAGTTCACATCTCACAGCAATCTGTCCCTGGTATTATGAACAGAACTGCAATATTTAATGGCTGCCTTTTGGTGTTTTGGTCTTGCTTTGGTTTGATTCTATCCAACAGATGGGAATCCCTTCTTCTGGGAACGGAACTGTTCACCCCGTGGCCCTCTTGTATTGGAAAATTTAACTTGCTTTTTGATTTTCACAAAGGCTTACAGCTAAGAGTTTTGCCTTGAGTCTCACAGGAGATTCTGGGCTAGGACTTTTCAGTACTGATGCAACTGTTAAGACATTATGATTCTTAGCTTGGAATGGATACATGGTACATAATAGAAAGACAAAATCCTTCCAGGATTCAGGGATGGAATATTATGGCTTAGACATAAAATGGGGCTTTTTGAAGGTATTGGATGATGGAGAGCACTAAAGTCATGGGTGGAC